CAACGCACCGACAAAGATCCCAAGGGAGCCCTTGAGCGCCCCAGGTGGGGCGTCCAGACGCTCCTCCGTCTCCTCGCTCAGCGACGTTTGGCAGGCGAACATGACGCCATTCATCCTGATCGCCTTGCGGCAGCACCCCTTCACCTCGCAAGTGGACGTAGTCCACGGGTCAGCCCTAGTCAGCTACAGCGCTGGGATCAGTGCCTGCGAGAAAGGCGAGCAGTGGCAGCGGGCTCTGGCGCTGCTCCGCGAGCTGCGGGAGGCGAAGTTGCAGCCCAACGCTACCTTTTTGTCACTGCAGAGCCCCCGTGCGCGCCGGAGGGGTCCTGCCTCGAGCGCCCCCCTCCGAGCCTCCGGGCGGCCGCGGGAGCGCCGGCCAGCGGGAGGTTCGCACGCTGGCCGCCGTGGAGGCCTCCTCCCTGCTCGCTATCCGCTCCACACCTCCGCGCCCCTTGCCCCTCCCCCGTGGGGCCCGGCACGCCCCCCTCTCTCCTCGCCCCTCTTGCTCCTCCCTTCTCGCTCCTGCTCCGCTCGTCTCCCGGCCCCGGGCTCCTCCCTCCCTTGTCCACCCGCACCTCCGTCCTCCCTCCTCGGCTCCTCCTGCGCCCCTCCTTGCCCCCCTCTCCCTGCCGTCGCTTCTCCCTCCTCGCGCCCCGCTCCTCGCAGATCGCCGAGCACCCTTCGCTTCTCCCTCGTCCCCTCCTTGGCCCTGGCTCCGCGGTGTGTGCTCCTCGCTCCTCCCACTGTATCCCGAGCAGCATGCTTCGCTATCTGGCAGGAGCGGCAGAAACCGCACCCTGCAGCCTGAACCCTCCTCCTCCTCCTCCTCCTCCTCTTCCTCCTCCTCCTCCTCCTCCTCCTCGTCCTCGTCGGCCTCCTCGTCCTCCTCGTCCTCCTTCTTCTCCTCTCCCTCCTCCTCCTCCTCCTCCTCCTCCTCCTCCTCCTCCTCCTCCTCCTCCTCCTCCTTCTCCAGCCGAAGCGAGCGGCAGCAGCAGCAGCAGCAGCAGCGGCGGCGGCGGCGGCGGCGGCGGCGGCGGCAGCAGCAGCGGCGGCGGCAGCAGCAGCAGCGGCGGCGGCAGCACACGAGAGCGCCAAGCAGCACAGCAGCACCCTGCAACAGCACGCGGCAAGCAGCAGTGGAATTCAGCAGCACGCTGCAGCCCCCAGCAGCAGCAGTAAGCAACAGCGGGAAGCGTTGCCAGCAGCACGCCACAACGACAGCAAGCAGCAGTACACTGGAGCAGGCATGCAGCATCAACCAGCACCGAGCTGCAGCACGCAGTAGCGCCAAGCCGCATCAAGCAGAAGTACGAATCGGCCAACACCAGCCCATGCCAGCGATAAAGAAAAGCATGTGGGGGGATAGTTCCGGCAGGCAGCACGGCGCGAGTGGCGGCACCTTGCTTGCTATTCCGCTCTCGTTGGCGGTACTTCACGGAGCTTCCCTAGCGGCCCCCTCAGGCTCCCCAGTGCTCTTCCGAGCTCTTCGCTCCTCGCCCGTTTCTCTTCGCTCCTTGCTCCTCTCACTCCTCTCTGCTCGCTCCTCTCTGCCGGTCCTTTGCTGCTCTCTCCTGGCTGCCTGGCAGTCCACGCGGCCTTACCCCTGAAGGGCCCCGCGACGGCTCCTTCCTCCCTCCTCGCTCGCTGATCCTCGCTTCCCCTCGCTCCTCCCTGCTCGCCTCGGGTTCGACGCCGTCTGGGACCCGCCATCGCATCACATAGCAGTTCGAGCAGATTTCGCGGAAGGTGGTCCACAGGCCAGCCCTGGTCAGCATCTGTACAATGCCGAGGCACGTGCGTGCGAGAAGGGTCTGTGCATTGGTGGGCTGTCGGAGCCTCGGGGCGCGCCCACACAGCCTCAGGGGGCGTCTGGAACCGAGAGCGCTCCAAGACGCCCAAGGTAGCGTCAAGGCGGCCCAAGGGGCCCCCAAGACGCCCCAAGAAGGTTCCAAAATCGTCCCAATCTTGCAGGAAAGCGTGAAGTTTAACACTGTTGTTTTTTCCGTCGTCACTCCTTCTCAGACGGCCCTGCAATTTTCAAATGTTGCCCCAAAGACGCCCCAGAAGGCCCGAAAGAGGACCCCAAGACGACACAAGACAGCCCCAGGACGGTCCAAGGCGCGCCCGAGACGGCCCAAGAGGACCCGAAGAAGGCCCCGAGAGCGGCCCCAAGCAGCCCAAGACGGCCCCCAAACGGCGCAAGAAGGCCCAAGACGCCCCAAGAGACGCCCAAGATGGACCAGGAGGGCCCCAAGGCTCCCCCAAGACGCCGTAAAGAAGACCCAGGAGGTCCCCAAACGGCCCTAAACGCCCCCAGCACGCGTTGACATACCCCAAGAGGTCCCAGACGTGCGTTAACACACCCTGGCAGAAGCATCAGTGCCAGTAGCAACAGCTAGCAGCAGCAGCGGCTGCAGCAGCATCAGCAGCAGCACCAGCACAAGCACCAGCACCAGCACCAGCACCAGCACCAGCACCAGCCAGCCAATAGCAGCCAGCCAGCCAGCCAGCCAGCAGCAGCAGCAGCAGTCAGCAAGCAGCAAGCAGCATGCAGCCTTCTTGCGTCTGGGTCCCGCGACGAACACTTGGTCGCACTTCGTTGCGGTTCGCTTCCTTCAGGCTCTAGCATGTGCACCGTGACCGTCGGGCAGAGGTTTGAGAGGCACCCAGCGTCCTAGCCCGGCAAAATTCTTGGAAGTGCTTAGATGGTTCCCAATGCCTCAAGGCGGTGAAGGATGCCCCAAGAGGTCCAGGCGTTCTTTGACACACCCTGGCAGAAGCATCAGTGCCAGTAGCAGCCAGCAGCAGCAATCAGCAGTCAGCAAGCAGCATGTCGCCTTCTCGCGTCTGGGCCTTTCGGCGAACACTGGGCCACACTTCGTTGCGATTCGCTTCCTCCGGGCTCTAGCCTGTGTATCTCCAGTTTCTGGCAGAGCTTCGGGAGGCACCAAGCGCCCCAGCAAGAACAAGCACAAGTCAGCAACATGAACAGCAAGAACAGCAGAAAAAAAGACAACACGCAATTTCATAGAGCTTGTCGCGGCCGGTAGGCCGCTGGTCAGCCCCAGCCTATGCTACAACGCCGGGGGTCGCGCGTGCCAGAAGAGCGGGGGACACAATGAACCAAAACCGGCCCCCCCCAGGGGCTCCAGGACGGCTTCTGAGGGCCCCAGAACGACCCAAGATGGACGAAGACGCCCCCAGACAGTCCAAGCGGTCGCCAATATGGCTTTCAGACACGGCCCCAGTGCTGGACGACGGCCCAAGAGGGCTCCACGAGGCTTCCAAGCAGTGCCCCGATGAGCCAAAATCGTTGATTTCTCAATGGTTTTTGAAGGGTTTCCGCATTCTCGCCTTTTCGGTGTATCCACGCTCCAAGCCGGCCACAGCCCAAGAGGTCCCCAAGAGAGCTCCCAGACAGCCCACGAGGGCCCCAAGACGGCCCAAGAGGCCCCCAAGACGGCCCAAGACGACCCCAAAAGGGCTTCACGAGGGGGAACTCGAAGGAACATTTCGCGCCCTCCGCTCCAGGATGATCCTAGAAACCGCCAGCTAGCCCTCAAGAGGCCCCCCAGACGCCCCAAGGCCCCACAGTGCCGGAAGACGGCCCAAGAGGGCCCCACGAGGTCCCTAAGGAGGGCGCCGAGAGGCCAAGATCATTGGTGATCCTTGGGTTTTGGATGGGTTTCGGCGTTCTCGCCGTTTTCCGAGTCGGCCCCAGGGCCCCAAAATTCGCGCCAAGATGACCCAAGAGGCCTCTAAGAGAGCTCCCAGACAGCCCTAGGGCCCCGAGATGGCCCAAGAAGCCCCCAAGACGGCTCATGACGACCCCAAGAGGGCCTCACGGGGGGGATCTGAAAATTGCCATGTTGCGCCCTCCGCTCCAGGATGATCCCAGAAACCGCCAGCTGGCCCCCAAAAGGCCCCCCAGACGCCCCAGAAGGCCCCACAGTGCCGGAAGACGGCCCAAGAGGGCCCCACGAGGTCCCCAAGGAGGGCCCCGAGAGGCCAAGATCATTGGTGATCCTTGGGTTTTTGAAGGGTTTCCGCGTTCTCGCCTTTTCCGAGTCTCGACGCTCCGAGCGGGCTAGAGGGCCCCCAAATTCGCGCCAAGATGACCCAAGAGCTCCCAGACAGCCCTAGGGCCCCAAGATGGCCCAAGAAGCCCCCAAGACGGCTCATGACGACCCCAAGAGGGCCTCACGGGGGGGATCTCAAATTTGCTATTTTGCGCCATCCGCTCCAGGATGATCCCAGAAACCGCCAGCTGGCCCCCAAGAGGTCCCCCAGACGCCCCAGAAGGCCCCATAGTGCCAGAAGACGGCCCAAGAGGGCCCCAAGAGGTCCCCAAGGAGGGCCCCGAGAGGCCAAAATCATTTGTGATCCTTTGGTTTTTGAAGGGTTTCGGCGTTCTCGCCTTTTCAGTGTCTCCACGCTCCACAGTTATCGCTTTCCCGACGGAAACCGTTCTCCTGTCAGCATCTCCGGCTTTCCGGGTTTCATGGCGTAGACGACGGCCCAAGAGGCCCCCAATACCGCCCCAAGACGGCCCAGGAGGCTCCCACAGGGGATCCACACCGGCCCGACGGAGCGTCAAGACATGTAGCCGAGGAGCCGCCCAAGACGGCCCGGCAGGGCCCCAGAGCCCCCCAAAACGGCCCCAGAACGCTCCAAGAGAGCTCAAAACCACCGAAAACGGCCCCGACAAGGCCCAGGAGGCCTCCACGACGGCCCCAGAGACGCCCAAGAGGCGCCACCGCGTTCCTGCCTCCAGGCCTGCTTGCTTGCATCCCTCGCCCGCCTCCACCTCCAGCGGCCACCTCCTCCATCTACGCCGTCCCTTTCCAACCACTCCTTACCCGCGAGGCCCCAGAGACGCTCCACTTCCATGTCCACGCCACGGCGGGCAGATTCCGCGGCCGGAAGGCCGCGGGTCAGCCCTAGTCAGCTACAATGCTGGGATCAGCGCGTGCGAGAAGGGCGAACAGTGGCAGCGGGCCATGGCGTTGCTGGGCGAGATGCGGGGGGCAAAGCTGGAGCCCACCGTCGTCAGCTACTGCGCAGGGATCAGTGCGTGCGCGAATGGCGAGCAGTGGCAGCGGGCCCTGGCGCTGCTGAGCGAGATGCGGGAGGCGAAGCTCAAGCCCGAAGTCATCTATACTACGATACTGGGATCAGCGCGTGCGAGTTCAGACAGGGTGGCTCGGGGCGGCTCCCCGCGCCCAGGGGGCGGGCCTCGACGGTCGCCGGCGCTCCCGGACGCTCAAGAGAGCGCCAGAAAGCTCCACGAAGAGCCTCACCATGGGCCAAGCTGCCCCCGAGACTCCCCGGAGGGCCCCAGGACCAGAAAGAGACCTCCAAGACGGCCGCAGAGCACCACCATGACGGCCCGATTGGCCAAAAATCCCGAGTTCTTGTAATTTAGTAAAAGGTTTGCCAGGTTCTCTCCATGTCGGGCCCGGAAACGCTCCTCCAGACAGCTCTGGGAGCTCCGGAATGATGTCAGTCTCGCCCGAGACGGCTCCACCATAGCTTCTTGGACGGCGCCAACGGCCCACAGACGCCCCAAGAGAGCCCCAAGACGGGCCCAGAGAGCCCCGCGGGCCCCCCGAGACAGCTCCAGGACGGTCCCATGCTGGTTCCCGCACGGCTGCGGCCCCCTTGCAGCCGACCCCAGGAGCCCCGTAACAGCCCCTCCGGGTCCCATGAGGGTGGTGGAGGTGTGGTGGTGGTGGTATGGTGGTGGTTTGTGGTGGTGGTGGTGGGTTGTGGTGGTGGTGGTGGTGGTGGTGGTGGTGGTGGTGGTGGTGGTGGTGGTGGTGGTGGTGGTGTGGTGGTGGTGGTGGTGGTAGTGGTTTGGTGGTGGTGTAGTGGTGGCTTGTGGTGGCGGTGGTGGTGGTGGTGGGGTGGTGGTGGGTTGTGGTGGTGGCGGTGGTTTGTGGAGCTGGTGCTGGTGGTAGTGGCGGTGGCGGTGGCGGTGGTGGTGGTGGTGGTGTGGTGGTTTGTGGTGGTGGTGGTGGTGGGTTGTGCTGCTGGTAGTGGTGGTGGTTGTGGCGGTGGTGGTGGTGGCGTGGTGAATTGTGGTGGTGGTGGTGGTGTTGATCGTGGTGGTGTGTTTTTGTGGTGGTGGTGGTGGTGGTGGTGGTGGTGATGGTGATGGTGAGTCGTGGTGGTGGTGGTTGTGTGGTGGGTTGGTGGTGGTGGTGGGTTGAGGCGGTGGTGGTGGTGGTAGTGGTGGCGGCGGTGGTGGTAGTTGTGGTGGTTATCGTCGCTGCGTCCCCGCCGTCGCCGGCGCCAGCGCTGGCGCTGCTGGCCGCCGCCAGCGCCGGCACCGGCGCCAGGGGGGGGAGTTGAACCCCCCCCCCCATCGGCGCCATGGGGGGGGGTTTGAGCCCGAAATGGAACGAATTACAACCGACTAGTCCCAATTCCAACCGTTCGGAGCGAATTGCAACCAGAAAAGAGACCAATTCCAACCACAAATGAGACCAATTCCAACCCAACCAAAAATGAGACCAATTCCAACCACGGATGGGATCTTCGGAATTCCTCCGGATCCCTTCGAATTCGTCGGAATTCCTCAGGATTCTTTAGGACTCCTTCGGAATTCCTCAGGATTCTTTGGGATTCCTTCGGAATTCCTCAGGATTCTTTAGGACTCCTTCGGAATTCTTTAGGACTCCTTCGGAATTCCTTACGATTCCTTCGGAATTCCTTACGATTCCTTCGGAATTCCTTAGGATGCTTTCGGAATTCCTCAGGATGCTTTCGGAATTCCTCAGGATTCCTTTGGAATTCCTTAGGATTCCTTCGGAATTCTTCGGAATTCCTTTAGATTCCTCCTTCGGAATTCCTGTGGATTCCTCCTTCGGAATTCCTTTGGATTCCTCCGAGAGTTTACGGCTCTTCACATGTTGTACAACCAGAACACCGGGATGCAGGGGGAAACGGGATGCTCGGCGCGTTTGCACGCATCCCCGGCAGCAGAGGGGGCTAGTATCCCACGGCAGGCTAGTATCCCACGGCAGGCTCTGGATGCCTTGCAGCTGCCCGCGTGGACAACCGCTCGCCGCCGTGGCGAACAAAAACCCGCTCTCGGATTGCATTTTTGCGCGCCGCCGCCGCCAGTTCTATTCAGAGATGCCTCTCGGCACGCTCCGCCCCCTCGTAACTGGTTGGCAGTTGGTTGGTGGCCTGGTTGGCTGGCTGGCTGGTTCTTTGGCTGGTTGGCTGCTTGGTTGGCTCGCTGGCTGGTTGGCCGGTTGGTTGCCTGCCTAGCTGGTTGGTTGGTTTGTTGGTTGGCCTACAGGCGTGCGCCATCTCACATGCCGAGGGGCCCGCCCGCTCGGGGATTGCATTTTTGCGTACCATTACTACCACTACTACTGCGACTACGACCACGACCACCACTACGACTACGACTACAACTACGGTTGCTACGATTACTACTACCACCACTTACTACTACTACTACTACTACTACTACTACTACTACTACTACTACTACTACTACTACTACTACCACCTACTACTACTACTACTACTACTACTACTACTACTACTACTACTACTACTACTACTACTACTACTACTACTACTACTACTACTACTACTACTACTACTACTACTACTACTACTACTACTACTACTACTACTACTACTACTACTACTACTACTACTACTACTACTACTACTACTACTACTACTACTACTACTACTACTACTACTACTACTACTACTACTAACTACTACTACTACTACTACTACTACTACTACTACTACTGCTACTACTACTACTACCACTACTACTACTACTACTACTACTACCACTACTACTACTACTACTACTACTACTACATCTAGTGCTAGTACTGCTACTACTACTACTACTACTACTATTATTACTACTACTACTACTGCTATTACTGGTACTAGTACTACGCCTACTCCTACTAGTACCACTACTCCTACTAGTATTCCTACTACTACTACTACTATTACGACTACTACTGCTACTACTACTACTACTACGAGTACGGTTACTACTACTATTACTACTACCACTACTACTACTTACTACTACTTACTACTACTACTACTACTACTACTACTACTACTGCTACTACTACTACTACTACCACTACTACTACTACTACTACTAGTACTCGTACTAGTGATAGTAGTAGTGCCAGTACTACTACTACTCCTACTACTACTACTACTACTACGACTACTACTACTACTATTACTTCTACTATTACTCCTAGTATTACTACTACTACTACTACTACTACTACTACTACTACTACCACTTACCAGTACTACCACCACCACCACCAGTACTACTACTGCTACTACTACTAGTACTACCACTATTTCTATTACTACTACTACTACTACTACTACTACTACTACTACTACTACGACTACTACTACTACTACTACGAATACAAATACTACCATTACGAATTCTACTACGACACCTACTACTACTACTACTACTACTACTACCCCTACTACTACCACTACTACCAGTACTACGACCCGTACGACTACTACTACTACTAGTGCTGCCACTACTACTACTACTACTACTACTACTACCACTACTATTACTACTACTACTATTATTACTACTACTACTACTACTACTACTACAACTACTACAACTACTGCCACGATTACGACTACGACACCGACTATGACTACTACTACTACTACTACTTCTACTGCTACTGCTACTTCTAGTACCACTACTACTACTACTACTAGTACTACTACTACTACTACTACTACGACTACTACGACTACTACTACTACTATCTGGTTTCGGTTCGGTTTCGGACCCCTGCGATTTACAGATTTTATGCAGAAAGCCTCGCTCTCACCTCCTCCCTCTTCCTCCTCCTAAGCCTCTCTCTCACCTCCTCCCTCCTCCTCCTCATTCCTCCTTCACTCTCTCTCTCTCTCTCTCGCTCTCTCTTCTGTGTGTTTTCGTTCGTCGCGCATTCCTCTTCCTCCTCATCCTTCTCCGTCTTCCTCCTCATCCTCTTCCCGATCCTCCTCCTCCTCCTCCTCCTCCTCGTCCTCATCCGCCTCCTCCCCCTCTCCCCCTTTTCTGAAGGAGTGCCATAACTTTGGGAAAACCATTGGAAAAACCAAAAAAAACAAAGAAACTGAAGTGCTGGAGGCGAAAACTTTAGGAAACCCATTGGAAAAACAACAACAAAAAAAAAAGATTCCAGGGAACACCCGTCCGAAGGGACACGTCCAAAGGGAATCCCAGCACTCTCTGTGGAATCTTTGTTTTTTTGTTTTTTTTGTTTTTCCAATGGGTTTCCTAAAGTTTTCGGCTCCAACAGTTCAGTTTCTTTGTTTTTTTGGTTTTTCCAATTTTTCCCAAAGTTTTTGAATTGTGTGCTTTTGGGGCCTCTCAGGCGGGAGCATCGTTTAGAGTGTTCTATCGGGAACCTCTCTGGCGGGAGCCTCCTTTTGTTTGCGTTTTGGGGGACTTCTCAGGCGGGAGCCTGAGGGAGCCATGAGGGAGCCATGGGGGGAGCCACGAGGGAGCCATGGGGGAGCCATGGGGAGCCGTGGATGGGGTGGGGGGAGCATCCTCCTCATCTCCCTCCTCTCCTCATCCTCGTCCCCTTGTCTCCTGATATTGTATATTCTCCTCCTCCTGCTCCTCGTCCTCTGCGCCTCTCGTTTTCTCATGTTCCTCGTCTTCCTCCTCATCTTCATCGTCCTCATCCTCATCGTCATCCTCTTCCTCATCCCATCCTCATCATCATCTGCATCGCCTTCTTATCTGCATATTACATTCTTTCTCAGCATCATCATCTTCCTCATCCTCACCTTCCACATTCTCATCTTCCTCCTCATTATCATCATCATCTCCATCATCATCTCCATGCTCATCTTCATATGATCCGCATCTTCCTCACCATCCTTATCTTCCTCCTCACCCTCATCTCCTTATCCTCCTCATCTGCCTGATCCCCCTCCATCCTCCAGCGATTGGGATGTGGATCGGGCATGTGTTATTCGTATTCCTCCTCCTCCGCATCTCCTTCCCCTTCCTC